GTTTGTTTTAGTGCGCTCAATCATTGAGTGCTTCATTTAACAGTAAATAACGTGAAAAAATGTGTTGTCACTTCAAAATTAACTGGGCAGGCTAAAAATGGAGAAAAGTCGGAGTTTGATGCTCGCGGATTTTAACTTATATTAGATCTCACGAGATAATTTTTCTTCCGTGCCAATCAAAGCAAAGCACGTGACTCATAGAAGGCTACCCCCCAAATTCACTTTAAAATGCAAAAATTTAGAGAAACGAATCACTGCTCTGTAACAAGTTATACCATAAGGTTGTGGAATATTGTACAAATAAGATGTCGCAAGCATAATCGAGTCATGCAATAACCAAGGTGCTTAGCTGGGGTAATGGGTCGGCTAAGTTGTTAGTGACTAGTCATGAACATGCTGCACCCCAACTGAATGTTAGTAGCTGCTGAATGGCTGCAAAGTAGTGCAGAAGTTCCGCGACTCGAAGGGAGTGCAAGAATTGCAATTTGATTTCCGAGTTCCGACTCGTTTAAGCAATTTGCGATCGAGAACTGCTATTTTCGATAGGTCCTTAACCCTTTGATAGGTCCTTAACCCTTTGACTTCTGCTGGTGCACATATGTGTACCACTTCTAAATGCAAAGGCAATACCACAATTTTGGGACTTAGTGAGGCTGTAGTGCCCGTTTTATCGGCGAGTTACTCAGATTAAATTAATAAGGCATATCGTACCGCACGCATTGCTTAGTGTGCGCAGAACCTAAAATGGTAATTCTGGAGGCTCATGTACTCTTAATGCTTGTGCTAGTGTTTCGGTGTGCCCCACATTATTGTATCAGGCGCAACATACGCCAATGAACGATTGAAGACGGGACATTTTATCAGCCGAACCAGTCAGAGGACTACGCGGCGTTCCACGACAGTGTTGGAGATTCAAGGTCCAAGATTCTGACAGTTTGGATGGTGCGGAAGTGAAATTAGAAGACTACTATGAAACACAGATTTTGAAGCAGTAGAACGATGAAAACTCGTTAGAGCAGAAGCACCCGGTCAGACCCGCAGCGCTTCTACAGAGTGCGGCTTGCAATTCTACCCAAGTGTGGTCGCTACCGGACATTGGCTTTGTTCCACGAATGAGATATGGAATTGTGTATTTGTAATTGTTAATTAACTTGCCAACTTACATTTAAAAATACTCATTCGAGCGGTGATGGTGTGGTGACAAGAGGGGCCGCTGCCGCGCGCATAGTTCCTGGATCTAATTCCCAGGTTAAATCCAGCGCACGTCGCCTTAGATGATCATTTTTTGCAAGGAGCGATAGATGCTATATAGAACATATCATTAACTTAATTTTAAAAAAGTCAGTCTGAAGCTTAATGCAGTGCTTGCTTTGAGGAAAGAATCTTGCTCTCTTTCGCTGACATACCGTAATGTGTTGACTAAAATATCGACAGTAATCAGTCCCTCCTAAACATACAGTCGCGATCGAATTGGTGCTATTTTTTCGTGAATTAGACAATACGAAAAGGAACGTTGGTGAATAAAGCAAAAAGCACCAAAGAATGCAGTCGAGCTTTTCTTGCGAGATCAACCGAGATACACGGAGAAACACAGCTCTGGGAGTAGAGGGGAAATGCGAGAGAGCACGTCGCAGCGAAAGGTCGCAGACGTAAGGATGCCCCCAGATACTGAAATCCATGGAACAACCCTCTTCAAAAGCCGAACTATGAAAAGGTTGTTTAATTCTCCCCCAAAACTGCTCATAAAAAAGCCCTGCTACCCCACCGTCCACAAAAAATTCGTTTAAGAAGTACAAAAGTGAAAAAGTCAAAGAATGATCATTATTGATGAGTCCTACCAAACGAGCAAACGAGAAACGGAGCAAAAACGACAAACTAGTCACTAAAAATGGCATACTATGACATCTCTTCTTTATTTATTTCCTTCACAAGACTTACCAAATTCTAGTACTACACAGATTATGGTTCTCAATTTACACGTCCCCCTTTCGCTTGAAAGAAGCCTTGTAACCGCCTTCGCCAGCTGTGTTGACTGGACTTTGGCGTTGACCGTGGAGCAGCTTATTACTATTGAAATTTGAACAAATATTCAAATGATTATAACTTTCTTCAAATATGACGAATTTTCAATCTGAAAGCAGATTTGGGAGTTTTGTGAAGAGCTCTTTCTAATCAGTATTGAAATTACAAAAATTTATAAGAAATAACAAATTTAGATCAATTAACGAGGAAAATTCATGATGAGCACGAGTTTTTACACTTTCCGAAGCCATAACTTGCTTCATTTTCGTCAAATCTGAAAAGTTAATACGCATACAAAACTAGAAGATTTTCTCTATCAAACGGTTGCTAAAGCAGCTTTATACGTCCAGTATTAAAAAATGGCCACGTTGAGGATTTTTGCAAAATTAACGAGGAAAATTCGTGATGAGTGCGAGTTTTTACGCTTTCCAAAGCCATAACTCCGTTCAAACTCATCCAATCCGAAAAGTTAATACGTCATCATAAACTAGAAGATTTGCTCTATTCAACGCTTACTAGAACTGCTCCAAACGTCCAGTATTTAAAAAATGGCCACGTTGAGGATTTTTGCCCGAGTACCGCCGAAAGGTACTTTTTCGCTACATTGGCACTATTTCAACGACTATAGCTCCTTTCAGGGCGATTATATACTAAAGTAGGAGCAGATTCGGAATCCTCGTGCTTTTCTCTTTCCAAAAGTGTAAAATTGTTTAGCGTGTCTCAACTTTAAAGGTTACATGCTTATGAATTTGACGCTGAAGGCTGCGTTTCTTGTTGAATAGTGTACTCCTCCCTGTAATTTCACATGAACCCTTTCAGAATCCTCTTGATTTTTCCTGAATTGAGATTCTTTCTCCAGAGAGCCGTAGTTGAAGCGCGCAACCAACTGGGCCCACTCTGGGATGCGCCGTGTGCTTCACATCCCTTCAGATTCGAGGACTCACTTGAAAGATAAAATATCCCTTGGAAAACGTGCGAATTTCGGATTCTTTAACTTGTGTGGTGATAAAACACTGAAGTAACTAAGAATTAGCGGACACCTCAGAATCACGAAAATTTTGTGTGGGTGAAATATCATTGTTATTGGAAATCCTCTGGCCTGGCATCGACTCGATCCTTGATGTTTGTCCTCCGACGGTGATGATCCTACTGCATCAATCGGGCCCGATCTCTTCCTCCCAGCGGGCCAATACGACCCCCCCCCTGTGACGTGTCGAGGATTCCTCAACGCACGCTTGACCCTGTTGCCAGGCACATTCATCACGACAGTATCACTACCCTTGTGATCAGACATTCTGTTACTTCATTTGAGGAGAGAATTCTCTGAGGATCTGATCGCAACATGCCTTCAATCTTCTTCTGCCCAGCGTTATTCCTGCGCAGTCGCAAAGTAAGCTGATCCTCTTGTCGGCACCACTTGCATGACTTCTATTCGGAATGTCGTTAAAACGCGATACGCCCCATATAACAACTTGGAGGGGGAGGGGTGGGCATCTCATGGAGAGTCAGTAATTTTTCATTTGAGATAACCCTGGAACCATACCCTGTTAGGATGAAAGGATTGGATGATATGGGCAAAATTCGATCCGGGTTTCGACTCTCGAAACAGTGGTATAGGCGTCGCTTGCCTAGAATTAGGGCGATGGATGAACCCCTTCTCACGCACACCTTGTGATGGGAACAGGAGAATAGCTCTACAAAAGCTGTTTGTTACTGGTACACGGTGGTAGGACAAGTAATGATTAACCGCGCGCAGTAATTTACGCAAGAGTCGTTTTAGCCGATTCGAAAATGCATTCAGGATTTGCACACACAAACCCTGTGCACTGAAAGTGCCAGATCTTTGTTCAAATCAGGATCGTGAACGAAAGAAATACAGACGAACAATAAAAAGGCGAAAAGTTGGGCCAATAAAAAGGACGATGTTGAAGGAAAATTGATGGTGGCTTTCGAGGATGTCTGTCCTGCTGATCTGAACCATTAGCGCCTTTCTCGTTCTAGTACACAAAACTCATCGCATAAGTTACTCTTTTTAATTCTAAAGTGTTACTGAGACATTGGAATGGGTGAGGGGAGCCCAAAGCAGGGATTTATGGTTAGAATTGCTCACTGATTGGTGACTCTTTCTTTTCCATTCACTTGCTTGTGTCCTGCAAATCCTGCAGATACCTTCCGCAACAGCGCGGATCGGTCAGGGACAATAATGAGGAAGAGGTGTGCCTTATCACTACTCTAGTGCCATGATTCTAATGCAGTGGCTAGAGGATTCCTCAAAATTAATGCCACCCGCATGTTCCCGGGAAACTTGGAACGATGGAACTTCAGTACAATCCCTACTTTATATAAAGCGCTTAGTGTCTATACGTATGCCATGAAATTCGGTATTCTTTGAAATAGGTTTGCCACGAAAATTTATAATTCGCCGAAATTATCCGACGTCGAAGATAAAGTGGAGGGGCGAGGTAGGGAGGGTCATTCGAATGAATAGTGTGTGCACTATGGTGGCGGAGCTATATTCAGGATTCAAACCCTCATGGTGGGCGGAGTGTTCGCCGAGTGGGCGGAGCCAAAATTGACATTTTGCTCGTCCTGCTCAGTAGTATTGGGTCGCAGTGTGGCACACGCGCTAGTGTGCGGAGTCGAACTGGTCGTGCATAACCAAAACTCATTCGATTGTTGTACTTATAGCAGTGAATCCGCGAGGGTGGTGTTTCAAGCGTCGAGAAGAAGAAATATTCCAGAAAAAGGGTTAGAAGTAATCTGCTCCCCGTGCGACTTTCGAGAATCTCGTATAGGCTGCTAGGACGCTTGCGTGCACCATCAGGATTCCGCAACGTGCGGCTAGATCCAGGGCGTAATTATTTGGCTGTTGGTGGGGTTGGGGTTTAAATTATAAGGGAAACATGTTAGGAGTGAAAAATGGCATAGAATTATTTTTATGGAACGCGCGTTATAACTCTAATGCTTCTGGGAGGTACGAATATCATGCTGTTACAATTAGAATCACTAATCGGGCATTAGCCGTGATTGAATGTAGAAAGTTCAACGAAATTGAGTCGCATCTGGTTCAGATATCGGTATTGGAATGAGCGGACACTCTTCAATATACTTCGAATCGTTATAAACTCACCTAAGAAAGTGAAGGTGAGAGGAAAAGTCGATATCAGGCGACACATTGAAGGATTTGGGGTACAGCGTTCAAATATAGAGAACATTTGCCAAGTGATCGAAAGAATAGGATGCAGTAGAGAAAAGAAATTCTATCGCCTTAGGTGCAGACGTCCAAAAAGAGTTTCCAGTGGAGGCAGTCCGAGAAACAAGTGGAACCGTTCCCTTCGGCAACAGGTGACGGGATTTCGAATGCCTAACAGCCTTCGGTTAATTAATTAACTAATGAATTTTTTGGACGTGGATCAAATTCCACGTGATAAGAAAACCCTAAAAAACCAATAGAAACACTGTTTTCAACAACAAGCCGTCGAATTGCGAGGCAACATTTTGGCAACAAAAGAGTTTTAGATGGACTACTAAGAATGAAAAAAACAATCATAAATAGGACAGCAAAAAAGGTAAATCACCACAAAAAACATTAAACGGAGCATCACGCGAATCTTTTGCAATTGGAATTTTACTGGTCAATCTTTTGAAGAGAAGGGCGCCTGATGACGAATTGCTTAAAAAAACGCACTTTTTTGTTTTTTTTTGTCATCGTGATGATTGGTCTCAAGCAAGGGATCAACCGTCCGTTCGAACTGTTCGAACGAAGGGGTCGCATTTTGGTCGGAAGGGGGTCGCAATTTCGAGGACTGTGCCAGCCACAGGCGCGTGCGTGGCGTATCCGAGGGCAAGAATTGTTTGTGCAGACCGCATTAGATTCGATTAATTATGCACAGAGAGACAGTTTTAGGCAAATTACGGTGTTTTCCTTGAGGAATAGAGAACAGTTGAATGCATCCCTATGAAAGGTTTGACTTCTCGGGGCTGAAATTAAAGTTCTTCGGGACCTGATTTTCTGAGGACGATTCTTCCAGACAACGGTAAAACATAATAAGGAAGAAATCTCGTAGTCTTCAAAAATGTCTTCGCCCCTCCCCAACAAGTTCTTTGAAGGAAGTTATTATTGCTGAAAGCTCAAAAACTCGCATGTGCTGCTCAAAAACCTATGGGAACAAAATGTTCGAACGTGTGATTTTCTCGGAAAATGGATTTTGAAAAACGGTTTGGTGCTTGTTAGAAAGAGCAAATCCTGTACTTTCACCCCATGAAAAAAGTGCATCACAGAAATGAAAATGAAGTGAGTTATGCCCGCTTAAAGCCCAAAAACTCGCGATTTCAAAAAAAGTGTTCGGCAAAACCCCCCAAAATGTTCGAACGTGTGATTTTCTCGAAAAATGAACTTTGAAAAACGGTTTGGGCTTGTTAGAAAGAGCAAATCCTGTACTTTCACCCCATGAAAAAAGTGCATCACAGAAATGAAAATGAAGTGAGTTATGGTCGCTGAAAGCCCAAAAACTCGCTTTTGCACGAAAAATGTTCGAACGGGACAATTTTTTGAAAAGGGGACAATCACTAAACTTTTATACTGTTTTGTTAGAGAAATATTTGAAGTTTCTGAAACTTTTTACAGATTTCCAAAATGTCGCATACGAAAGATTTTATGGGCCTTCAAAGTTGAAGGTGCGCCTTCTTAGAATTTTGGGTTTTCCACTTCTAACAGAAGTACTTTCCGGAGAGTTAGGCAATCCTTGTAGTTTTCTGAAAGCGCACCTCAGGCACAATCAAAATCTACCTCAACAAGTCAAAAAAATACGTCCCAAGAAAGTTATTCCCCTCTAAAATTTTTTCTTCGCCGCGTCCCGTTCTTCCAGCGCCCGGGTGATACCTGCCGCGCTCCAAGGCTGACGCGCAATGCAGACGCTTCTGCGGCGGCAGACGCTTTCTGGCGCAACGGATTCATGTCTAGCACTCTTATTAACAAAAACAGGGGGTCGCAAAAATCCCGAAAATGTTCGAACGTGACGGTTGACCCTGGTCTCAAGACAGTGATTTATGGTCAGATAGGATCGTGGTCTTTCCGAGGACATTTCCTTTAACATGCAGGTGATCTTAGAAAATGTGAAGAAGAATTCAGAAGCTCCCAAATAAGGAGCTTCTGAGTTATTGGCCGCAAAGAAAACTCACAAGCGGAACGACGGCCAGGCCTTCACGCTCTGCACATAAGATCACATTCGGTATGAAGGGGCTGACAGATGTGAGGTGGTTACCGCGTTTATCCAGTTGACGGAGTGAAAATAGCAACTGCCTTAGGATTTACCGGCTCATGGGAGAAGGGGACCTCGAAATCTGAAAGAAGCGACCACGAGGAAGCCCAAATTATAGGTGGAAGGAGGCTATCAAGAAGCACCGGCTGAAAAGCCTAGCGGAGGGAGACGTAGAATGTGACGACGTGTAACAAGAGGAGCGGGACATGCGATGGGTCTGGATTCGCACTAGGAGGTGGTCTTCTGTACCACGCAGACGCCTTATAGGAGGCTACAAGGCTAGTCTGACCGCTTTGAAATGTAATTTCAGCAGGACATTGCAAAAGTAAAATGGCCGCGCTGCGAATGCGACGAGACTGCCGCTCTGAAAATGACAATATTGCTCATCGCCCACCTACATGTGTCCTAGTCCAAAATAATCCTATTCTAGGTCGCTATCATCGTGGAAACTGGCGAAGCCAAAGTTGTGCATGACTTCTGTGTTCTGCTCGGTTTCGGAGCCGATGCTATCTGTCCGTACATGGTGTTTGAGACAATGTATCGCCTTCGATACCTCGGCCTTCTTGACAAAGAACTCAATGATGATATGGTACGGTGTTGGTAAGCATGAGAATGGTATACCAACCACTACATTCATTACAGGTCTACCAAGGCTACCGTCAAGGAGTTGAACGTGGCATTTTTAAAGTTATGGCGAAAATGGGAATAAGTACGCTGCATTCCTACAAGGTACTTGCAATTTCTTACAATGGACTGGGCACGACTTTTGGGCATAGCAGCCATGCGCAGCGTTCTGTTGGGTTATTTCTGGGTTAGTCACTTCTATTTGTCGTTAATTTTCATCGGTTTTCAGCACGCACAAATCTTCGAAATAGTCGGCTTGGCCAAAGAGGTAGTCGACATGTGTTTCAAGAACACAGTTTCGCGTCTCGGTGGTGCCACGTTCGAGATCCTGGCAGCTGAGGCACTGAAACGCCATCGTTCCGCATTCCCTGTTGTCGCTAATGCCGACAAGCACGTTTTTGGTAAGTTTTTTCAGAATGTCTCAAGAAAATGTTCTTAAATTACTACAATACATCCAAACATCTACGATGGGACAAAAGCCTGGACTAATATTGGACTTTTACTAAGGCTCGTGCTCGCTGACCACTGCCTTTCGTAAGTGGTTTTCCCATAGCTCTTCGTGCGACTGTTTACAATTTCCTCTTCTATTCCCCCTTTTTCTCAAATGTCACAACTCCTAAGTGTGGAAAGAGCTGGCGTTACAGCTCTTTCTTAGGTGATCCTAAATAACATTTCCCATACAATTTTTTGATGGAACAACATAGGGTAGACACGCCGTAGTGAGGCAGATTCGAAGTTGTTCCATACTACGAGTGCAATTTTTGTTCAGCCTGAAAAGCGAGTGTTCTCCAAAGTAGGCCGTGATTTCCTGGAGACGTACGCCATGCACTCTGGTCGCGAGAAAAAGTCTCCCTTTGAGGTTCTGTTGCTTTTTCACCAGAACTCTTCAAGAAAAGGAGTATTTTCGAATCATGTGTGGGCGCTATCGCAAGATACGGGGGCATCTCTAGGGACTAATTATAGGAGGGGACACTTACGGGTAAATGACAACTGTACACGCAAACGGTACAAACTCCTCTGCTGAAGCTGTCATCCGGTTTCTGAAAAGAAGGAGATGTCTTAGGCGATTCAAAATGCACTGGTACTACTAATTCGCCTCCATAATTCTGCGGTTAGCATCCAAGTAGTATTTAAAAAACGGGAAATAAGGAGATTATTCTATTCTCGCCCGGAGAAGCATGGCGTGAGGTCCCAGGAATATCAGTGTACGTGCCAGGACCAAACTAACATTTCTCAGAATCCTAGTGCTGTCAGTGTGATAAACGTGAACGGTGACAATGGTGTACAAGTGAAGACATGATGGGGTGAAATGGCAGACAGTGACGCAGTGATGATTAGCGTCTGGAATAGCACAGGTTATGATAATGTTCAGGGTTGCAATCGGTATAAAATGAGAAAATAGTATGCTGGTTTCGCTGTATGTAACAGGTGGAAGCTCGCAGTAGACGAATTCAGGAGAACATTAATGGGAATGCCCGGATATAATAAGCTGTCATTCCTTATAATGATTATGGATACATAGTGGTTCTCAACAATTAGGCCCTGCCCAGTGTTTTTCAATCATGCTGCAGGCTGAAAGCTGATTTGTTTACTGGTCGATTATTTCTGAGAGAAAAACCTTCCTCAAAAAGGGTATTTTTGAGCGCTCATTTTTTCATTCGTTTATTTTTGCCCTTATATCGGGTTTCGGTGGGGACCACCTTCACTCTGACGATCGTTCTCGCTACAGTAACCTTCCTACGTAATTGTGCAAGCGAATAAACGCAAATTGAGCGCCGTAGTATGCTATGGTCCTATGTATGAAACTATTTCAACAAACGACTAAGTTTGTTTTCACAAGAATGCCGAGTTAGAATGAAATTGTGCCCCGGTCGCGTAACTGGTAGCGCACTCAGTCGGAAAGCAAAAGGTGCGGGTTCGAGTTCCGTCTGGGGCAGAACTTTATCCACAGTATTGTTCAGCTTGGCTTTTTAGATTGGAACCCTAGTTCTCGAATACAATGTGGTATGAGAGAAAAGATAAACGTTCTGATTTTCACGGATTTATAATAAGCTCTTTTATCGGGAATGGTGTACAAATACGAATACTGAGCAATCTGCATCCTTCTTATGACGCCTTGTCTTAATCCTGCACGAAGCGCCGTTTTGAAAGGATGGCGGAAAATGCCATACATTGGTGAAATATGAAACACTAAAAAATGAACAGCTTCAGGGACCATTTCGAGAGCTTTTGAGGCTGTTTAGCCAGACACATGACAAACCTACCCTAAGTTTTAGAATTTTTCCTTTCATCACTCAAAAGCTTAGTGCCGGAATATTATGAGTCTTTAGGTCAATAGATTAGCTTGCTGACGGCTCGACATGGTAAAAGGAATGGGAAACTCTATTCATCGTAGAAATATCTATTGGAGTAGAAATGTTCACTGAAGTGGAAACATGCGTTGACCTCCTATTCTATTCATTCTTGCAAACAAAGAAAACGACGAAGCTTCATAAACAACTGAAAGCTAATTCTTAGAACCCCTAGAATTTCTTTGAAGGTTCTCTACAGTGTCAGATAAATGAGAGGGGTTGCAGAATATATCCAACAAAAAATTTCTGGTTATTCGAAATTATATTTTAAAATGGGATGAGGCTACTAGGCATTATGCATGTGTGGAATACTGCCCTTCGTTAGCGTCAAGGTAAAGTTGGTGAATTTTTATAAAAGGTTTGGTCTTGGTACGAAAATGGAAACAGGTTTTCTACGGACATGGGAGCCGTTATGGAAGATCATGGCTGTCAAGATTCTAAAATATCGTGGTAACCTTTGGAATGGAATTTCTTTGACTTCTACGCGCACATTTCCTCTTTTCCAATCAATATGAACCACATTTTCACTATGAATTGTACCTTGCGTTGAGTATTTATAGCTGCCGAGGAGCTGGATGGTCGTAGAGGAGTTTACGGTAAGGCAGTCGTGAAGTTTTCTGTGTTGTGCATGAACGTGTCGACAAGCATGTAGTTCTAGTACATTTCATTTGCAGTCAAGTCTAGTTTAGCGGCTCTTACTCCGTTGTGTAATTATCAACAGCATTAGTCATTGTCGTGAATAAGCACGTCTTTTTATGCATATAGCCGATAGATGTCTTTGTGCTGATTGCAGCGATCTGTTCTACTCTAAAGAATAAATAAAATAGAAAGTTAAGATTAGATAAATTAAAAATGGCCAGAAATTCGAAAAATGTCATAAAATTTTTGTGGAATTTCTCAAAGTCTCTCGCAACCTCTGAAAAACTTTTCGAGCGCTAATTGAACCCTGCATCCCATTTATTGCCATTTCATTCTGTGACGACCCTCCCCCATAAGGCGTAATACGACCGAGATAAGGACCGATATGTCGAAGGTTCCACCACGTTGGATTACCCGTTTACAACCCTTCTCCGTTCAAAGAAAGTTTCACGATAAGGTCCGTGGTCGAAGAAGGGGGAACGCCCAGTGGAGAGACAAGCAGGCCACCTAAAGGCGCCTGGCGGTGCGGGTTTGGCAGCGAAGGGTATGTCCCCAGCAGCTTAACAGTGCTGTACCAGCGCTGCTCGTATCGCTGCCCGCCCACCCTGTCGCCGCCAACTCGAGTCGCTCAGCAAAGAGAGCGTTAGCGTTGAAGAAGGCAGTACCGATGAGACACGCCTAACGTGCTCATCGGGCAGATAGGATTCTATTTCTCGAGTTCCACGCTGCTTTTTTTTAAGGTTTTTCCTTCATCCCTGCATCACTGATCACCTTTACCGTGATTTTTGGTGGGCTGTCATTTCATCGTACTCCGCTTTTAACCGTCATCACGCAGAACGCTGTGCATACCACATTGAGAAAAGAGTGGCTTCTTCCCGAAATATGATGAAATGCAAAGATCACGTACGACCGCTTTCCGTGAGTCGCATGAAATTGCCAGTGAGCATCGCTGTTTTTTTTAATTGTTCCTGCTGCAACTCAGTACTCCATTGGGCGCATCCGCGTCAATTACTGTCAGGAATCGAGTCACCAAAAATTGTTGAATTCGCAGCCCCGGGTCGCGATATGGGCTGTAATGCTGTCTGAATCGTCTGCGCTCCATCCCACACTGCAACGCTATAGGCTATGTACTGTGGCTCAGTCCATGTAACCCTATGTTTTGGTCGTTTTTTGCATTAAATGCAGTCATGTTGCGACTCAGGGCTTGCAATTTTGAAGATTGTTACTGTTCAGGAGACTCACGTGTTCTGGTTGCTTCCGGAACATACCACTGGAGGGCTGGAGGAGAAAAGCATATCAATGAGCCCGAGGCGATTGCTAAGTTACAGGTTCGGTTTTGGTATACGTTTTGATTGCGTAACATTATGTGAAGCTAATTTCACTTCTGTCTCTTGTTTATATTAAATGCATTTGGTTGGTCCATAATTTCTACGACCTTTTAATTCGATGGCATAAACCCCAAGAAAATCTCGAGACTAGAGAATGGCTTGCACACCGCAACATTCACTTTGGCCAACTTGAAGATATCTTCTAATATTGGCATGCTGACTTTTGTTAATGATAATGAGAATGCTTTTTCTAGTGGCTATTTCGATGCCTCACTTTTCTAAGTGCCTACTAGGTCCCACCGAAGGCCATGTTGAGCAAAGATTCTATCACAAAGGGTCAGTGGGAAGCTCTCTGGAATCACAGTGCACCGCTGTTACGTTCCTCTCAGTCTTGGTTTTTATCAAAGGAACACCAAAACACCAGCCGTCCCATGGCTTTCGAGGTCCATGCTCCACCTGACACTGTTCAGAAGAAACCTCAACAGAGCACTTATGATGTGGAAAGATGATTATGCTGAGACATCTCCATGAAACCTGAGAATTTTGTGGAAATGTTTGAATCCTATGCGCGTTGAGCCCGCACAACCTTAAACGCGACCAGGTTTTCCTATGTTTCCTTTAGTTTCCCATTATACCTTCGATTGACTATTAGATGGCCACCGTTGATGAGCAGGGGTAGTGTGCGCCGTCTAGCCTCAACGATGTGGAATTTCTGAATTCGCCGGAATTCAGCCGGGTATAAGTCATGCTTTTGCGAATTCCGCTGAAATACTCGAGAAATTGTGCACTAGAAATTCCTGCCTGCTAGTGCCACAGCCAATGAGGAAATTAGCTGTTGACAGCCGGATTGCAACGGTTTCTATATAAAAGGAAATCAAGGCAAAGCCTACTTTTACTGAGAACGTTAACTCACATGAGGTGAGCCACATGGCAAAGAAAAGTCGTGAAAACTTGAAAAATCAAGTGGGGAGGTTTGCCTCATCACCCTGTCCTCTTGTCAACGGATAAGCCTTCTGTAGCTCTCCATGTACCCTTACCGACTCGGAAATAAAAATAGATAGAAACCTGAGCTTAATTAAGCTGCCGAAAATGACATCCAATCTTTCTCCGATTAGATTCTCCAGTATTGTGCAAGGAGTTGAACTGCTACCCATGCATTGGTAGTGAGTTGTAGATAAAGTTGATACATTTCACTTGGAACGAATACCAGCGACATAACAAAGAAAACAGTTCGAAAAACAGTAGAGATGGTCTAGGACTTATAGAGCGACGGACAAGCAAGAGCTTTCGCCGCGTTATTATGCAGTTGTCTTGGGTTTTCTGTTTTTCTGTGTGTCGCGTTATTGCCTTCATTGCACATCTTTGGCTAAGTGATGTAGTACAGATGTTCTCAGAAGTGATACGTTCAGGCCGCCACTCGTCTCAACAATTCAAAAACATTCCATGAATACTCTCAAGCGTCAAATCTAGCTCAGCGTTGGTGTACCCTCAGGGGTCAACTTGAGATCAAGACAAGCTCGAAACTCGAAATTCCTATGGACCAAGTTGAGCCGGCTAGTGAAATTGTGAAACGATTTGTGACAGGTTAGTTCTTGCTAACTTTACTTTCATGGTAACACCTTATTTTCAAGAGCGGTTTTATTTTATAAGCAATGAAAGGGGGGCCACATAGTCGCATAGCCTGAGGTTTTATGCTTGTTCTCATGACGTCTGCAATGGCGCGGTCTGACAAAGCCGCAGGTGCTTACCTCTGGTACAATGTTCTGCGAGTTGAAACTCAGCGAGAACTCGAAGATTCGTTGAACGCAAGCTTCGGGATAGGGCATTCTAGAGTAATCCTGCTGATAGAAAAACTAGAGTTGTTCGTGATCGTCTTCGCAAGGCCGCTAGTGCCTTACCTATTTCCCGATTAACAGCGCTTGGGGGTCAATTAGGAGTCTGTCGCTGCAGGCACTTCTCTGTGCTCTCTCTCTCGTTTTCTCTCTTTTCTACTCGCTTTAAATCTCCGTCCTACTACATCCGATCTTACAGAAAGTTCAGGCCATCAATTGCATTTTTATTTGAGCTTTGATTTTTCCTTTGCTTTCTTTTTCACTTTCAACCCACTTTTTATCTCCTCCTTCATTTAAGCTGCTTAATCCCTATTTTGTTCTAAAGCTTGCATCTGAAGAAATCCCACCATACAAAGTATATGGGTATGCAGTCCTCCCCCCCCCCTCACCACTCTCGCCACCTTCAGC